CCAGACTGCACTTGCAAGCTGCCCAACGATACCAAAAGGCGTACTTCGATCACCGTGCCAACCAAGCAACATATCGAACCGGCCAGCGAGTGTGGTTATCAGAGCCCGCAGCCCCGGGTGGTGTCCCGACTAAACTACACCGACAATGGAAAGGCCCCTTTGTGGTTCAGGAAGTCCTCTCGGGCAGAACCGTACGACTCACTCTGCCCAGCCGCCCCCAGTGGTCCACTGTTGTGCACATCAACCGACTGAAGCCAGCTAACCGCATCACCGACAGCGCTGAGGACAGCGCCATTCTACGAGGGGGCGTGTGAAGTATCCTAGAGAGTCGAACCACCCGCCTAACCGCATGTTTCCATTTTCCCTTTATCTTGCAGATTCAAGGGACCCCGCCCCCCAGGAGAACACCAATATCGACAACCAAGAGCAGAACGAAGACACGTAAAGTTGGGTTGTTTTGATCGATCTTCTGTTTTTCTCTGTACTTCTTCTTCCTGTGTGACGATTGATTCTCCTGGTGCCCCTTGTTGCCCAGCTGTTATTGTGACCCGAATGTTCGCTTCGCATCCCTGAATTATTTTAATATAATTGATCCCCACGTTCATACGGCATTCTTCTTTGCCTGACTGTGAACTTTGTGTGATTCCTGTGCTTGCTTCATGGTATGGACCGTGCCGAAGTTTATGTGATTATCATTACCCTGCTTAACCAATTCCATTGCAGGGCCTTGCGGAATTATCTACTCCTCCACGACTGTGTTGCTTATTCCCGGACTAACTGACTACGAAATATTACCTTTCTGGCGACCCTGCCAGGATTCGTCATGCCGAAGATAAGTGACCCTGAGAAATCGCAAGAAGAAGAGCCGACAGTGGGTTTTGGAACCCTCGGAACTATGTTATCCCAACTTCTCGCCTTGCTGTCCTCTGTAGTCCGAGGTGGACAGGTATACACGCAACTCTCCCCGAGCCTTCCTCCACCAAACAAATTCTCATTGAGCGACGATTTCCGGCGCTGGGCGGCAGATGCACAAGAGTATGTTGAGCTTTTCACTCCGAGCGATCGACGGCGTGTATTGTTCTCACTTTTGGAAGGTGAAGCCAAAGACATAGCGCGTGACGTAATTCGGCCAGGTGATCAGATATCCGCGAACACCTTCTCCCGGCTACGGCAGTACCTCACCGACGACACCGACAGACTAACAGCCCGCTGCAAATTCCAAACGACAATTCAACAGCCCGGAGAAAAAATCCACACGTTCGTCCGACATCTGCGCCGCTGGGCCGAAGATGCATTTCCGGAACTGGACGATGAAAACAGGGACTGCAGGATCCTGGACCAGGTGTGCATTGGTGTCCGACACCCCGAGCTCGTCAAGACGTTCGGAAGACAGACGCCATTGACTTTACAGGACGCACTGGAGACGGGACATGAAATAGAACAGCTCGAGAACGTTCTCCGCGAACATCAACTGGGACTACCTGAGAACTTTACCCCTATTCATACGCCGAACACCAGGTGCCGGTTTGCAGACACCCGAGGGTTCTACGGACCACACTCCCGTCGACAACCAAATTTTTCCAGTAGATATCCTCACACGCGCTGGCCGTCTCAACGGGGAAACTGCGAGTATTGCCGACAATTCGGAACGCGAGCCGTCACCTGTGGGCATGATCAAACCAATGAGTTGAATGTTTCTTTTTGCCCGTTCCATTGCAATGATCCAAAAAGTAATCTTATGGTATCCGTTACAATATGGGGTAAAAGGCTGCAGGCATTGGTGGACACAGGGGAGGCCCGCTCGGTAGTCCATAGTCAGTGGGTTCTGGTAGGTGTACCTCTCGGCGAAACGGAGGTTAAGTTAGTCACCGCCAACAACAGCCCCTTACACGTCAAGGGAACCGTAACCACCCCTATCACAGTGAATGGCTTGAAGATTCGGCAAACACTGATATGGTCCGATGGTCTTCCGTGGGATGTCGTCCTGGAAATGCACTTTCTCTAAGCGAATCAGATAACAATTGATTTTCCCAAACGCCTAATAACGATCAAGGGCCAACGGGTCA